TCGAAGCGTTCTTTTCTGCTTAGAGCTTTACAATTTATTTTTAAAATCTCAAACATTGCTCTAATTTTTTTCTTTGTGTTCTTCAAATAGAAAAATAACACTTAAAAATGGGGAAGATCTCATTTTCGTTGAACTTTCTGAATTTTCAAACATTGCATAAGTTCGAAATAGTGAGAGAAAGAACATGCTGTTGAAGCATCACTAATTTTTCAATTAAAAAATAAAATTAAGGAAAGACATATTGGAAGAACAAAAAATATTATTTTGTGGGCCTTCAGGCTAAATTAAGGAATATTAAACGCAATCTTCACGCGAATGGCATTGCTAAGTACAATAAACACGAGGTAGTGTCATGGATACTCACAGCGATCACAGACACAGAGCTTTCAAATAACAATATATTTATTAACAAAGAAAACAAAACAAATATATACACTTAATATCCTACTTACACCCTAGCTCTGATAGACCTACTATCCCCTGATCGCGGGAGTGATCCAAACCCGATTGAAGATGGTTTTGATTGTGGCATTCGCCACTCCTACTTCTGAAGCGCGCACAAAGCCTAGCTTCCGTGACCGGATGTCACGCTGGTACACAAAGTCCGTTCTTGCGCACCAACGGCTGGTTTGCCTCGATCGCAGGAGCGATCTTATCCGATTGAGAATCGGCGTGAATCGTGGCACTCTACCACTCTTCACCTCGGAGCACGCACACAACATCGCTCCCCCGTGACCGCAGTCACCCAAGGACCTAAAGTCCGCAGGCTTCGTCAACTAGTGACTCGAGCCTCGCGAGCCTGGCTCGCATATGCACCGTCGTGGCGCCAAGTTTTGTGCACACGCACGAGGTTCTCCCACTGTCTCCAGAACCCACCCACTGGTTCTGCACACTCTGTTATATAGGCGAGGCCCACGTGACCTACTACGTCACGCCACCCCCTTGCTTGTTATAACAGTGAAAAGTTTCTAAAGGCCGGATACGCCAAAGCCTTGTGTCTCCCGTTTCCGCGTTCTTGCCTTTACGGAAAAACCCTTCTTCCTGTGGCGAGGCTAATCCTCTACCAAGCGTCCCCAAATAGATGCCATGAGGCACGCTGGCTAATACGTTACAGTAGGATGCCTAAAGTTACATTCAAATAAATAAAATGGACAAAAAGGGGCATTCTTGAGCTCCAATGAAGAGGATTACCCCAGATTGATATGGTATTGATTGGTATGGTATCATCACCACCAGCACACATTGTTGTCACTGTAACTATCCCCTTTTTTTCAATCCCTCACCCACATAAATTGAATTGAATTAATGCCTTATTTAAATTGGTGAGAATTGGGTCATCTGGCCCGGTCGTCCATCTGACGGAAATTTTGCTACGCTCCTTTCACCCACTAGCGAAGAAAGGCAGTATAACTCAGGCGAGGAACCAGGTTATTTGAATTTAGCTCAGGGGTTTCATTTATGCTTGAGGATGCAGCAAATGCAGCACATGCACGGGATAGCATGGGACAGCCATCTGTACTTTCCATCCGAAGGAAGGCGTACAAAGGATTTTTCGACCTCAAAAATCCGCGGCTTCGATCGGGTTTGAGCCCGCAACGTGGGTATAACAGTCCTATACGCTAACCGTTACTCAACCCCGCCCAGCGCCGCCCGCGGAGTTATATAGCCTGCGAGCGGGAGGGGAGAGCTGCGCCCTTTATTGCGGCGAATTCCCTTTACTGCGCCGGTTAATTGTACACAGGCCGTAAAGGCACGCGGATGGGGCGGCGCAAGCTGGCGGCGCAGCGGCGCAGGAGAGGGCAGCGCGGGAAGGAGGGCGACGGGGCGGGCGAGAGGGAGGATAAGAAAAAGAGCGAGCGGGAGGGCGCGTGGGAGGGCGAGAGGGAGAACGTGCTACGTGCGGCTTGCCTCGACAAACGTTGACGCGGTTGGAAGCCACTCCTCTTAATACAGCTCAGCAAGGCTTCATATTACTTCTACGCACCAAGTGATTACACTCAACTACCTTTGTGTCCTGAATGCAGTGACATTGAAGTAACTCAAGTGGTCTCCGGCATAATGCAGAAGGTTAGTCTCACATTTTAAAAATTCGGCTACTCTCGAAGAAATTACGCTGAACTGCAAGAACTGTTAAGGACCTCGCTTTAAATTTTAATGTTCAGAAGTTGAAATAAATTTGTATTTGTAATATATTTTTTATAAATTGAACTTGATGCATTTTGAACTAGTACTAAACAAATGCTCTCTGTACATAAGTTTTAGAAAATATGGTGTTGTCCCGCCAGGCCCCGCCTCCAGGGCCTCGCCGCTATATTATATATAATAAATATAGTCAAACAATTCCTTACATTTCAAGGATATTAATTAAAAGTGTTAATCCGTAATTTGAAAATTGTTAATACTTGGGCTGCCTCTTCCTGGAAGCCTTGCTATCACATAATGCCGGTTGTGTTGAAACCAGTGACGCATGAAGTATGATAATTCAGTCGGCATGCACAGTACGACAATGGTCGTAATAACACACGCAAATATTTACATTTTAAATCAAAATCTAAATGGCTTCGTTGACTTCGGATTCCCCCGACGTTTTGGGGTATCTATCGAAACCATCGATGCCTCGCACATTGGAAATGAGTAATGAATAAAAGCATATATCGCAAATTATATGCGTTTTATGTTAAGTTTGGTAGTCATTTTTCGAAATTTTCGGAAGTTACTTTGTTTCATATTCGTACATATCCATTCTAACATTCATTGTTATACATTAAAAACAAACTTATTTAACCAAAACTATCACCTCTAACTATCTTTCATTTGTATGGGAATTTGGAAACTGGGAATACGTTTTACGATCAGCAATGTGCAACTATTTGATCTGTGCGCAAAATCTCGTTGGTCATGAGTACGGCTCGCGTACACGACAACGCTGCATCGTGGAAATGTGCACGGGCGTCGTAAATCTAATGGAGGGGATCCCGCGCGCGCATCATGTGGATGCGCAGCTGCGCCGCGCCCAGGGCCGGCCCGGATGCTGTCCCGCTCACGCGTCAACTTTGTCTTTTATCCGACTCCAGCGCGTTGCTCGGCTCAATAGATACATGAATGATAGAATATTTCGTTCCACACTTCGTCGCAGCTGCGTAAACTAATATCACTGAATGAAACATGATTTTTGGAGACGAAATATGGTGACTAGTGAAGGAATTTCACTAGTTCATTGAGTCATATAATGTATACCGCCAATGATATAAACTTTGTGAATATATAGGCTTTACATTTAGGTATAATAATTAGTTATTAATAATTATCACTCACATGATCCTATTAGATATAAGGTCTAGTATTTTTCAATGTTGCTTTTAGAACTTATGTATTCATTTTATTCTGTAGTACAGAATTGTCAATAAAACAAAAGGTTTTTTTTCTCGATATAAATCACACACCTTTAAAGCACCCTCTTCAAGTTCTTTCGTCGCCTGATCCATGTGAGTACATACAGGTGAGAAGCATCAAAACACAGAACTTTGCTCTCTTTAGTTCTCTCGAAATCCACTTGTATTGCCCAGCTATAATGTAATAGGGTAATATACAAATTATTAAATGATGTTAAGATTATTTTTGATCTCCCTAATATTTCGTAAAAATCCACTGATACTATAATATATTCTACTGCTTTCTCAATGTCTTCGAGAATTATAAGATTTCAGAAAAGTTTATAAATATATATTTGTTTTTCATTTCTAAATGAATTGTCAGTGTATGCTATCCTTGTGTACTATCTAGGCATCAATATAAAACTATCGCAGCTATTGTTAGAGCCATCGTTACCATCTTGAAGTCTCATTTTAATGTTACAGGGTTCACAATACGGCCCATGTCGTAGGAATTAGAGCAGAAAGAGTCATTAGCACATCTTCCTTTGCAAATGAAGTCAAATAGTACACCCATGACATTCAATGCATATTATTCAACATTTATAAACCACTGTTAACGAACAATAAAAGGGAATTTAGTTATTTAGTAACTGTCTTTGCATATCTAGTTCCAACACAAACGCCAGATGCGATGTGCAACCTGGTACAGGACAAATGGCTGCGAAATAAAATTAAAATTTGGTGTTAAAGTAATGCGCATAAAAATTTTATGTAAAGTAATGTGGATTAAAATGGGTCTAATTTCATACTGAAGTAAACCCACAATAAATATACATTCAAGAGACACACTTTTCAATTGAACTGAGCAATATCGACTACCACGATACTAGCAGTATTTTGATTTATTTGGCTTCATGAAAAAATGTTACGTTTCTTAAATTTAACCTCCTATTCCATAGTACCCGATTTTTCCACTTCCACAATAATCTTCAAATGTGTTTTTGTTTAAAAAAATATTCGTATCTGAAACAATTTCGAACAATATTTTTTGACACCTAATAACTCATAACAGAGTTGAAGTTTCTGTGTTTTTGTGTTTTCGCGTTTTAAGTTGTTTTAAACTACATTGGTTAGTAAAAAAATCTCGATTATAATAATTAAAGGTTTTCTGATTCAACTACAATCTAATTAATAATAGTAAAATAAATGATGGTTAAGTTAAACCTACAAAAGTGGATTCATTGAGAGAGAAAAGGACAGATGAGAGAAAGTAACGAGATGTGGGAAAGAAACGAGATGGGACGAGAGAAACGAGATAATGAGAGAGGATGAGAGAAAAAGAAAAGAGAGGAGAGAAATAGAGAGCGCATGAGAGAGAAAGAGAGATTTGTGGATGAAAAGACTAGAGATAGAGCTAGAAAAAAGATGAAAGAGACAAGAAGAGGGAGATGTTGAAGTTGAGAGAGAGGTGAAGAGGAAGTGATGATAGTGTGATGAAGAGGACGAGAGAGATGAAGAGGAGAGGAGAGAGAGATGAAGTGGATGGGTACGGGAGAGTGTGACGAAGAGAGTGTGAGATGACGAGGACGAGAGGGATGAAGAGGAGGAGAGAGGGGCGGCACTCACCAGAGGGTCCACCTTGAGGCGGCGCGTGTGCGGCACGCTGCGCTTGCTGCGGGCGGGCGGCAGCGCGCGGTGCACGAAGTGGAAGGCCGACGCGGAGCCCAGCACCTGCGCAGAACACACCATGCCAAGTTGATGAACAACGCTCCTCATAGCGGAGTCTGGACAATCTCTGTCTACTATAATGACAAAAAAGTCTTTAAAATGAACTCTCAATCCAGTTATTTTCAAAGGCCGAATTTAATTTTTCATGAAACCATGAAAAAGCGCTAGTTTCAGAAATTGAAGCAAACGGGGTTGCAATGCACTCGCTGTTTTCAAATGACGCTAATGGCCTCGCGGGTCTCCAAGAGCGATTCGAGTCTTGAAAATGCGCATACAGTTCCGGTTGCATTCAGGCTGCGTCGAAATTGAAATATTACGATGCACTCTTTCAAACAGAATATTTGAATATGAGAATAAAAGGGGAGACTATTGCTAATAATTTAAGTATTGCACAAAAGAGTTGTTATTCTTGTGTGAAATTGCACACCTGTATTTTACTGAAAAAAAATCATTACGAGATTCATAAGACTATATTTAAATAACAAAAGCACTCTGACTGAGATATAACTGCTTTCACTCCAAACAATATAGTTCTTGAAAGAAAAAATACATACCTTACAGGTATTACCTAGGTGACATTAGTTTCGAAATGTGTGTTTGAATTTTTGCCACATTTTTTAATTCATTTGTTTATGGTCGCTTTATAACAGCTCAGGCTATCAGCGACTTCCTTATTTTTACATCAGTACTTTACAAACAATTTTTAAACGTTACAAACTATTGTATCATGACATTATATTCATTACATTATTGTATTACATAAATTGTATCGTTACACAAAATATATTACATTAATAAATTTGTTTATTTGAGCCACATTTTGACACGTCGTATTATTCAATTCACCAATTTAGTTCACGAAGTAAATGAACATCCAGCTGCATTCGCAGGGATTTTGAAGCACATAAATAACAATGTGTTGAAAAAGGGCGTTTGAGGCGTCAAGTTGCTCTTTACTCACCATCCAGGGGGTCAAGCACCGCCGCACCAAGTTGTACTTTGCTGCTTCGACAGCAGTGGGTGACATTCGCGTGACACGACCCCGGCCCACTCTCAGGCAGGAGGTCCGAACAGTACGGACTAAAACCGATGCCGCGCAGATACCTAATCGACTACCTCTGACCGCTGTGACTTTTGAATCGATCAACACGAAGCAATTTTCGTGTTAAAGTTACAATCACGTGCTTCATTCACTAATGAACTTTGCTTGCTATTATTGCAGTTCATACTCATTGAAAGGCTCTAATAACTTTACCGTGTAATTAAGGGACCTTTGTAGTAACAAAAAAGGAGGGAGAGAGAGAAAACAAACTCTATAATGCATGCATGATAAAAGTAAAACTTAATACTTTGCTTCTAGTATTTAATGTGTCATTCAGTTTTAGGTTGAATGAGAAGAAAAAAGTTCATGGAATTAAATAGCACTGCAGTCTATGGGAGAATAATTTCTGGTAGCAGTGTCTGTGTTTGTGTAGACCGAGAATTTTAAGAATGGAAATAAAAAGCTGATATAAAAAAACTTTCATTCTATGCACACCTGCTCTCAGCATGAATAGCACAGTCTGCCAGCGTCTGGGCGAATGAACCCGTAACTATATCAGATTGTTCATCCAGTTTCCTTTTTTTTTGAACAAATGCTGAGATGAGCCCTTGCTTTTTGTTCCCATGAGCTCAGTGGGAAATGTAGCTAATCAAATCATTGTTCCCAATTTCCACACGGCAAAAATATATTTCGTTTGGGGTCCAATAGCACAAATATGTATCTAATTTGCCATTACAAATAGTAATGTACACACAGGAACGGATATTTCCTTATAATCTTATAAAGGTATCAACGCTCGTTATTACCTCTGTTCATAACTCGTCCTATATATATTAAATGACTCATGGTAGTAACTCCATAGCTCAAGAAATGTGCACAGATTGCATTTCTCCTCTTAATATATTACACACTATTTTCAATTCATTGACTCTATGTAAATTAAATGAAATTAAAAATGGTAATTTATTTTCATGAAGACATAAATTCCCAGAGCTCGTGGCATGCAAGTATTGTTAAGGTTTAAGATGTAATTTCTTTAAAAAAATCTATAGGCTATCCAGTGTAATGAATTCTAAAATGCCATTTACGAAATTCCGATAAAAATGTGCTGAAGGAAAATGCGGAATATCAACATTATACGTTTCTTAAGGTTTGGAAGTTTCGTAGAATAGCAATCGATAAATATCTCTGAACGACTTTGACATGACTTTATTGTCTAGCAGGAGGTTTTTTCTCTTTATATGAATGAAAATACGAGGGAGAAATTCTTCAACATTAATATTGGGTACTTTTACATCAAGAAAATTGTAAATTTACACTGCGAGGAATTTAACTGAAATACTTTTTTGTGAAGCCTTGTAAAAAATTGTAGAAGAATTACATATGAGACCGATTGGGGATAGAAACTATACGTAGTTATTATTCATTTTATAGAGGTAAGACATTATTCTCGCGTATACGTCAAATTAAAAGCAATGTATTATGATGGATTATATTTTCATGAAAGCATGTTCTAGCGCGGCAGAAAACGCAATGCAGAAAAACACTTGTAGATATACTTTTATTTTCTGACTTTTTAAACAATCGATTTCAAAAGTGGATCATTACCTCGTCTACATTTGAAGTATTATATCTGTAGAAATATCCAACATTCTAGTATTAAATCATCAAAGAATGAGATTTGGTAAGAATTCCTGCGTTGCAACAAAAATCATTTTATCGTTTTTACCCGATCCCCTTTCACATTCGTTGAATCTATTGTGAAATGATTTGAATCTATTGTGAATATTTTCCTGTAGGTTATGTGGTTGTGAATGTTAGACTACTCTCTAAAATCCAATTATAATCGTGTCAAATAATGAAATGAACCAGAAAATATTTTTAAACGAAATTATATTACATGCGCCAAACGTCGGATATTTTCACGACATGGGAAATTAATTGTATCTGAAAGTGAAGAAATTCGACATGGAAGAAGAAAGTATTTATTTCGCAGTTTAACGTGTCGAAATCGTCCAATTTAGTAACCATTGTTTTCTACACAAGGGAAATACTTACCAACTTTTATAATTAATTTATATAATAAAATAGTTTACATAGAATAATAAATATTATAACTCTGATTTGAACAATTTATTTTTCAATTTGTCATTTTATGATTACTTTTAAAAAAGGGTAACCGAACAAGATATCGGCCATGTCGGGTGTGGGACGTTGAAGTACCCAATCATTCGGTCGTCTCGTCAATCTTTGCAAACAAACATGCCCGACAGCTCACTAAACCGCAGTATTCAGCGTGCTGATCCAAACGACTGCAAGCACTTCTTTAATTGACGGGTTTCTTACAACAACCACACTAGTCCAAATTCGAGATTTTTCAGGATGCACCAAATTATTCAGAAAGTAGAGTGTATGGTAATGTATTTATGATTCCTCCTTTTATCATTCAATGTGATTGTCACTCTCAGAAAGGAAATGTCTCAGTAGATAGCGCTAGTTGTAGGGAACAACTTTGTGAAATATCTTAAAATACGTACTTTTGGAGTTGTTTGGTTCTTGTAAGAAGTATCGTTCATGTAAATAGCTGATGTCGTCAGAATTTACGCACCGTATTGATTGATTATTACTGATTCCTGGCACGTCAACGACTAATTTCATTAGTCCCTTATGAGTAGTGCATGTTTTCCTCAGGACGTGGATGCGATATTTTCACGATGGAGGGAGAGATCCGTCGCCTGCCTACTAGGGATGCGACATCGATGTCCATGTTTTGAAAACATCGATGTTTAGAGTTTGATGGTTTTACGTGTTCGATTTTTTATGTAAAAGAAACCGTCCAATAACCACAATTTTGTAAAAGGTTAAATATTGACTTGTACTGACGATTGAACGAACCTTCGTATAGCAGAGAAGGGCACCCCTCGACTGAGCGTTGACCTCGTTGCCTGACATTTCCCACGCGTATCTTTGTGTCGCGCGGAGAGGCGTCACCGTTTGCGTAGGCGCACGTCCGCCGCGTCCTCCCTTCTTCGCGCTCCCTTTCCGGAGAACTGAGGGAACTCAGCGGTCAGGCTCTCAGACTCAGATACGCACAGGGATGTAAAGTTCGTAGTCATCAGTGCTATTCTCTAATTAAATTCTTCTCCAAATTTCTTCCAAAATTATAAAGATGGTTTGTGAACGATGTTTCTTAACATCGATATTATAATTTTGAACATCAAAGTTTTGAAACATCAATTTTTTTACATGTCACAACTCTACTACCTACCGTCGGCTACCGGGATTTTCCAGGTAGCCGGGATTTTCCAGGTTTTCCGGGATTTTTCCCTGAGCCACCCCTCCCGATTTTTTCATTTCATTATAAGCCAATGATCATTCTCAGTATATATCATTTAAGCAATCAAAAGAATAGGGATATTCATTTAATGACAGTAGCGTGGTGTACTTTTATTTTACTATAATTTACCACCCCTGGTGACAGTAAACAGGGTGGACAAGAAGAAGAGTGATATACTGAGCAAACGTGCATTGTGATATCAGTGACGGTCGCGAGTGTTATTACACATTTAACAGGCTTACGTGTTAACAGGTATGGCTGAAAGTAACAAAGAATTTAGTCTGTACGCGCATAGCAAAAAACGAGAATAGCAAAAAATACAATAGAAATTTCGAATTTTATCAAAATTAGAAACTGTTGTGTTGTTTCAGTATTTTGAGACCGTAGACACCTCTCACGTGACCAGAGGCTGCATAATTTTCTTCCGATTCCTGCGAGCATAGGCAATTTTCTAACAGAAACATCCATCTCGGGCGCGCCGGGGTCCGCCTAGTGCCAGTTGTGCCGCGTAGGGCCTGACTGAGCAGCAGCGCCGCAGGGCGACGAGTACTGAAATGAGCGCAGAG